GTATTTACGCATGTATAGGCCGCAGCACAATTTTCAGACAGAAAGTATAGAAAAAATAATTTTCTTGGAATATTATTTCAGGAGTATTACACCCTGTATTACTAATTATGAATATATATTTTTTTTAAATGAAGTGTGATTTCGGATATAAGCCGCACCANAGGCTACATTGAATACAAACAGTCCTAACTTAACGTAATAACTTAGCACGGTGCACAAGAAAGTATGTTATTAAGTCAGGTCCGACATAATTTAACTAACAAATTTTCAAAGTTACACCAGCACTGTAGTTTTGCAGATATCCGTCATTTGTGTATTTTCATGAATCACCTGAGAATATGAGCCGAAACACGTTACGAGTAAAACAATAAACAAAAGCATTTGTTTGTGTGACGGTAAACTCTCCATTTTTATTTGTCAAAATTATAGGTTATATCTAACAAACGTAGCATAATGGGACTCTTTATTACAAAATCGCTTCTGTGGGATCACAGCACTTCTTGTTTCAATAAAGAACAACACTGTTTCTATGCGTTCTTCTACAGCCTTCCTGTCAGCCATCTTGTGTAAACTGGTGCATGAGCAGTAACAGCGCGACACAAGCGCGCTCGGGAAGAGTAAGAACTAATCTCCATGATCTACTGTTCGTGTTACCATATTACAAAACATCGTTCATTGCCTGATTTAATAATTAATACTAAATCAAATACTGAGGGCCGCGCCATAGCTCAAGCGTTTGCAGCAAAGCAGGCACAAGTTCTTTCCCAGAATTTTCTGAGGTTCCTCGAATTAGCATGTTTCGAAATCAAAAGGCTAGCACTTAACAAACAGCCTATCACAACACCATACCAACAATGTTTTCGATAACTGTCAAGTCTGTTCTTGTGGTCTTCAGTAAGGCAAAATGAAAGATTAATTTCTTGAAGATGAATAATGACCACGGTTCGTAAACAATTCAATCACTTTTCACTGGCCGTGACCTCGTCATAAAGACCAAACAATGGGTATGTGAGGCTGACCACAAATGGGAGAACTATCAGAGGGGCCGAAGAGAATATCACATTGCCAAATGCCTCCCTTCGACTCTGTTCATTTGTTTGTCACCATGACGCCACTTACAAATAAAGGAGACAAACAAAAAAAGTTCCCGAAGAGAAGGTGATCACGGACATGTAAGTGCCACGTTGCTCTCCTGCAGAGGAGCAGTTCGTGACTCTCTTATACACAGATTTTCTTGTACTATAAACCAAAAGGTTAAAGACTGAAAACTAACAAAGCCGTCCACTGACCCCCTGCCGACATACCAAGGCGTACGTGTAAATTGGTGTTCACAGCATCAGTATCCATGTCTTACGACAGATTTAATATATATCCTCTCTCTGGCTCTACGGCCCTTTGGACCTTGGCCGCTTTTTTTTCAGTTTCCTGGCCTATACGCAGCCGATAGGACTCCCTGGACGGGGACTCAGCCCGTCGCAAGGCAGTTACACACAGAACAACATGAACACAGAATAAACGCACACAGACAAGCATGCCTCGACTGGGATTCGCACCCATGATCCCAGTGTTAGAGCGAATACAATTAATGCCTTTGACCGCGCGGTCACTGTGAACGGCTTATATATCCTCTTATCATAAGCATCTTGTGTTTCTCCTTGTCGGTCATGGGACAGTGCAGTCGTCACAGCGACTGGCTACGGGCTGGACGGCCGAGGGGTAGGAGTTCGAGTACCGGTATGGACAAGATTCTTCTCCTCTCCACGCCATCCAGACCATTTCTTGGGCCCATTCACTGTGGGCTTTTTCCTCTGGGGTAAAGCGGCAGAGGCGTGAAGCTGACCATTCACCTCAAACTAGTGCCGTGGCCAAAAATACGTGACTCTGTATACTCGTATCCATTCCCCCATACGTCTTCATGAGACAGTGCTTAATTAGTTAAGTACAGGGACAGTTTTATCTCTTTTTTATCCATGTAGGTTACCTGACTGACTAGCCACACTTTGGAAGAGGAGACACGAGATGTTATGCCATATGGACCAGGATTCTCGGTTTACAATGTCAGTTCATCTGTACAGCTCGAAATTTTCACCCCCAAACAATGTTCTCAAATAGCTGCAACGTCTCTTTCTTCAGAGTACAGACATCGAAGCTGGAATCCACACTGAAGAAGGGGTAAACTCACAATCGTGTATGTCTTATATCTTCATCAGCAGGGGATTGAAAAGAGCAAGTTCTTAGTCATGACGTGATAAAACTTTGGGTCGATATTCTCGTAATTTTAGTGTTCAATACATATAAGTGGTCACTGTCCCCACAACTGGTCGCTATAGCAGATCTGTGGAGAATGTACTTACGAATGGTACTGCGCCTGCAGGAAGTTGAACTCTTCCTTGATTCGCTCGCAGGTTTCCGCCACCGTGAACTTGAGCTGCCCAGGTTGCGGCGGTGGCCCCTGTTGTGGAAGAGAATAATCAGACGTCAGCAACAAGTACATCCATCTCCCGCTGCTATGCATAGATTACGTCCACGCCTATTACATACCCGCCACATCCTGTCCTTACTCCTATCTAAAACGTTACGATTAAAACACAGAAGAATTGAATTCTGTCTTTCTGAATGGGATACGGGGCGGGTATAGACTGGAGGTGTGAGAACAGGTCACAGAATATTTGCATCTATGAGAGGACGCACGAGGAGGAAAATAAATGCATGAGCTTCATAATTTGTACTCTTGTTATTACAATGATCTAATCCAGGAAGATAAGATGGGCGGAGAATATATCACGTATGACAGGTACGAAATGCTTACAGTACCATAAAAAGTAAATTAATTCCGTCCAGTGTGACTGATGGAGTTTTTTCTACTTTTTAATATTTTATCCTTAATATGTTTCGGTCTTACAGACCATCTTCAGAAGGATATCAATACAATTAGAAACCACTATTACAATATGTTTTGTGAATATTAATACTGTCACGTGCTGGGTGTATAACGCGACAAATAACTTCAAGTCGTATTGGATATAGAGAATTTATTGAACACTCGCTCTCACAATTACACACTTTACAGTTCCACAACTACTGCCATCTGCAGTATCACAGTAACTTCTCCTGCTGGAGTCACTGCCATTTACTCGATACAATTCAATAAAAACCGACTTCAACTCACTCCGGCGAATGCTAGACTGCAACTGATTGGTTACTCTGGCGAATACTCCTCGTTATGTAGCTTCCGCACTGAGAACACAGAAAACAGTTACGTGATAGCTACCACTGTTGCGTAACGTCGTGTTTACAGGCGTTGCTGGGGAACGCTGCCGAGAGATGTTTATTGCTGCCTAGTAACCGCGGTTTTCCCTGTTACGTTACAATTGGAAGTGCTGTTACGTCACCGCGGGGTAGGAAGACGGAGTATTGACTGGCCTGTTATCGTAGCAGCGGCAGTTGCTCCGATGCTGTTACGTCACCGCTGGAGGAGGGGGGGTGTTTACCGACAAAACCACAGGGAAGACCGAAGCATAGATGGAAGGACAATACTGACATGTATCTTAAATAAGGAGATGGACCCGACTTATCTGGTCCACCATAGGAATCAGAATGGGGGCCGTATGAATTCTTGGGCTCCACGAAGCGTACGAAACGTCTCCTAGCTAAGCGACTACTGGCTTCTCAATAATGACTCTTTTCCGTCGAGATAGTAGTCTTCTAAACGGCAATCTTTTAAGTACATCACTCTCATTGAAAGGTACACAAGACCATGTTCGATAGCCTGTTATCAATTCTGTTCGGGTATCCAACGAATTCAGTTATATCCAACGTAGATTTTTGGGACCGATACAAGTACAAAGGAAACGTCACCCTGAAACTTCGGTACAGACCACAATATAATATTACATCAAAACAGACTGAATAAATCTTGAGAATGAATATGTGTATGCATGGTTGGCATTCATATTACTACTTCACTTTATCCAACGAACGCCAAGAGTTGACATTTTCTTCACAGCAGTTTCAAAGTGTGCCTTTACCAAACGGCGCATCTACCGGCACCTTCATCCAGTCCTATACGTTAACGCAGCGAGATACTTGCGCGAGTAGTTAAACTGGGCATGATATTATTAAAAATTAAGACAATAACGACAGCAATTACAGTGGACGATACAACATGCAAACACAGGCCCTATTACAACTGGCGGCTGCGTGAGAAGGCTTATCAACGAACTTGTCAGCCACTGATTCAAACAAACTCCATGCAGCACACTCGCTCAGAAGGTCAAGAAATTATATCCTTATGTAACCTGAGAGCTCTTTGCCGTGTTCACAACATCCCGCCACTGCTACCAACCCTATATCTATACCATCCAGTCTGATATTTTGGTTGCATCCTGTTGTATAAATCATTATGGATAATATTTATTATATACCTGCTAGCACAGACACCGAGCTTGCTCTGTAGGACCTCAACAACAAACTCCATCTGCTGGAAACAGTGTTGTGTTGACAGGAATACAATATACAACCTAACGACTTACAGCTGACCTATTGGTTTCAAAACGAATACCTCAAACGCAAAATAAAACTTCTAGATTAGCTGTCCAATAAGTCATGTAAAGGTATGAAGCCCTGTGAGGTAGATCAGATACAGTTCCACGCATTCTCGCCAGTGGTATTAGGGGTGAGCGGTCTGCTTCACGCCCTGGCCGCCTTAATGCCTGGAAACGAACCTCACGTACCCATTCGACAGAAGCTAAGTGGGCCCCAGAACAGGCCAGAAAGTTTTGGAAAAGAAACTATGCCTGATTCTAACTAGAAACAATCCCAGGCCACTCATTCCTCAGCCTAGTCACTATATTTACTGAGCTACCTCAGATTCCCAAATAAATTTATTTGGTTTTTCATCCGGGGGAATTTGAAACCCGTGAATGTAACTGAGCCAACCGAAGCGGCGGACAACCAGAAACCGTCAAATGATATGCAGAGTTAAGTACGTTCGAGGGTACATCAGTCGTAGATGAATCAAGGCTTTCGGAACTTCTAACATCCACCTACAGACGATGCCACCGTCCAGACAGGATCAGCACCATTAATCGCAATGATACGGGCCCATGCGCAATCTCAAGATAGGACTGCTAGCTTGGGTAACAAGGTAAACTGTAATTCCTTGGGGTCGGGTGAGACTGGGTTCATCACGTGGTACGTTTGGCCTATCGCACCAGCGCCGTGTGAGAGATGATGTGCCTGGGGCAGTCGGTAGAACGAGAATTGGCAGGAAAAACCGAAGTACTCGGGTAAACATGCCCAGTGCCAGTTTGTTCCTCATAAATCCCACATGACCTAACCTGGGATCGAACCCGGCGACTGTCTTCAAAAAAAAAAAAAAGCAGAACTTCCCTATGCTTAATTAAACACCATGTCAGCAATGACGTAACGCAGAGAGAATGTTTACTCCACTCTTTCGTAAGTACTCAGCACTAGATTGAAGTGAGGGGTTGCTTGTACACTACCTCCGCTTCTCCCCTCCACCTATCACTAATTGGACATGAGGCTGGGTGGAGTCCAAAGCTAGTGTGAATATATTAAAGCATAGTTGTGCCTGTGCTTAACTAGTTAAGCACTACGCCATGAAGGCGCATGGGGTAGCGGATGTACAGATCCACGTTTTCTTGACCTCGGCATTAGTTGGAGGTCAGTAATCAGCTTCACGCCCCCGTCGCTTTACCGTCGGAGAAAGAGACTCCGGCACGGATCGGAGAGAAGGCTGGGTGGACCCCACAACCGGTCTGGACGACGTGGAGAAGTGAAAATCCTTGACTCTATGGAGGCTCGAACCCCGACCCCTTCATCGTTCAGCCTGTAGCCAGTCGCTATACCGACTGAGCTACCTCAGTTCCAATCCGAACAGAGTAACACATAATTATCGCCGCCCCCGTTGGAAATCAAATCCCAATTTTCTGGTCGTCCACCCCTTAACCTAGTTACTATATGACTGCGTTGCGCGATCGTTGGGGTTGTGCATGAAGGGAACATTCTCATGGCAACGAGCACAAAACCAGACCCAGCTGGTCTCCATTTTCACAGGAGAGCAATGGCACATCCAGTGTCTGGCTGACACAAACCAAAACCTGATCAACAGGAGATTAACACACTTGATTGGTGTACAGCAGTGTCCTCACATGGACCACACTGGTTGCAAGCCAGACGGACTAGTTGGCGAAGCATCCACTTGGAACGCTGGAAGACGAGACATAACCATGCGACCGGAAATTGTAACAAAACAAGGAAGGTAGACTGAGGGTATTCGAGACCAGGGAACTGAGGAGAATGTTTATACTTAAGAAAAACAAAGTAAGAGGAGGATGGTGGGAAGCGCATACTGAAGTGTTTCATAATTTGAATCTTCAAATGAGATTAAGGAGATCAGGACGTGACACACACACCAAGCGTGATATAGACGCGTATGCAACTTCAGCTGGAACCTCTGGGGGCAAGATGTCTCGATTGAAGGATATTATACGCATAAACTCCATGGCTTGAGTCCGCAAGCGAACTATACCGACCGGGCGACCGCCGCTTGTCGGCAAAGTAGTGTCAACTTTAGCGGATAGAAGGTGTCGCGTGGTCAAATACCCAAGGCCGTTAATTTCGGTTTTCTAGACAGGAGCCGATTTTTCCTCCTCGGTTATCCTCAAGAGGCTGAGTGGACCCCGTTTCAGACCACTATTTCTCAGAAAATCTGGTAGCGCCGGGAATCGAACCCCGGACATCTGGATCTGTAGACAGTAACTCTGACAATTAGACCACAGAGGTTGTCCGATATTGTACGCATATTAAAGAAATTTGGCATAATGGTGTAGATTCACTAGTGACGCATTCCTGAAACACAGTAACGGATCTCTGATGTCCAAAAAGGCAGACAATACATGAAAAGCTGCTAACTTGCTGCTCAAATGTTCTGTTCCACGTACGCGTATTTATGAAATACAGTAGTTCTGACCACAAAAGTTTACAAGTCCACCAGCAGGACGTGAGGTCCCCATGACGTTGGTTATCTTCTGGGATATAGCGTTGTATAGTCCCTTGAACTTCAATCGATTTTAAGCAGGAAACAGCCGCCTCCATCTTCAAGACTAACCCAACCAATAAACCAGATTACAGCAGGCAGCAAGAAGAGAACGGAGACATTTTCCTCCGAAACGTCGGTTGACTTTTAACGGATTATACGGCGTTATGTACCAGAAGACAAAACTCTTCTGGCCGTGTTAGACTACCTGCGCCGTAGCTCTGCGAGTCGTAGAAGTCGACTAAAGGGGAAATTTGTGCCTGGGGGGCATAACTGGGCCACCTTGTCACCGTGGGACATAAATATAGGGACCTGGTCCTCCAGGTTGGGGGGCTGGACGAAAGGCTGACGACCGTGCTCTGTAAAAAAAATACTGTCACGAAGGACAAAGT